TAAGCATTATGTTTACAAGCATTAGTGTTTGTAAAGCACTAAACTCCTTTAGCTCTTCTAAACCTCTTCTCAGCACCTCAGAGCTGAGAAGTTTCCTTCAGACTTTTTGTTGTTGCTGTATTAACTTTTCCACTACTTTCCAATACACTGACTACAACTTACCACACCTGAATTTTACTTCTACTTTCCCCAAATCACGGTTCTCTCTACTTATATACAGCTTTTACATCTGAGCTATCACATTTCTCAAGGGGACTTCTGGTTTGGTATAATTACACTACAGTCTTGCCTCTTTGTTTCTGCAATAAACAAATGTTTATTTGAAGAAGAAAAGATTTAATTTTCTTCCAAAGATAGACTGAAGTCTATTTCCAGAGAAATATGAAGTAGTGAAGCCTAAATGAAAATTCAGAAAGACAGTACCTGTTAAAGTGATGAAATTCTCTTAAATACCATCATGGCTGGCTGGTATTCAGAAGTACATCACTTGGAGAATTGATGTGATTATGTCATTATGCATGTATGTTTGTACCTACCTAGCAACCTACATTTACTCTGCTCTCAATCTAAACCTGCAAAAATCAAAATACTGACCTCCTGGATATTAAATTTTCATTTTAAGTTTGCTGTTGATTCTACCTGAAAACCTGCCAGTTTAACTGTTCTAGAGTTAAGCATGACCTGGAGGATTTTCCTAACTTAGAATTTTCTTAACTGTCTTAGACAGACATTCCCTGACAGGGAGTCAGAACTATAGGCTCTTTGAAGTCCCTTTCAACACAAACAGTTCTGTGATTCTCTGATTCAGATTGCTGTGTCTGTCACATAAAAGATGTTTTAACATGCCAAGTTATTAATTTTTTAGATGTTAAAGTGCTTTCCCATTAGCAGTCAACAAGAGCATAATCCAATTTATGTCTCTGGAAATAGAAGCAACTATCAGGGTGCATTAGAGCAGAAGTGACCAGTGGCAACCAAGAGAGGATCAGGGATGTTCCTCTTGAAGGAAAGCTCACCTCTGAACACAGCCAACAGTGCCACCTGCTGCAGAGTGCAGCACGGGCTCGTTCTGGGAGCACACAGGAAGAGAGAGCAGGTTCTTGGAAGAATCCATCTCTGAAGGCTTTACTCACATCATCTAAAGAACAGAAGCACCCATCAAAACCCCACACCCACCACCAATATCCCCACTGTTAGATGAGGGGAGAGTTCTGATATGAACCACACTCATGCCAGTAAGATGAGGAAGAAGCTCAGGCGATAAATCCTCAGTTCCAGTTACCTCTTCATGCCTTTTTGGAAGTGGAAGTGATTTTAAGGAGAGTATTTCCTTTAACATATTAATCCATACTCTCTGTGTTTCTGCCCAGGCAGCTGTTGCCTCTTCAGAGCTGTGTTTATAAATAAGGTGTATTCTGTCACAGTTTAGGCTTAAGTCCCTTCTAAACCATTGAAAAAAGCAAAATCAGCAATGCAATAAATTTGTGTCAAGACTTTTTTTCTAGCAAGCACTGTTATCTCTATCCCTTTATGAGATATTCCTATCTTAAAGATAAAAATTTAGCTTTTTTCATGCTCTTGTTTCTGAGAAGAATCAGTCAACAACAGAATGTGGATGGATTTGTAGGGGAAGATGAATTAATTTCCTCTCAGTAATCAGAGAAGACTGGAAGATTCTGTGGATCTAGGCAACTTCTTTCACTGGCTAAAGTTTGCTGAGCCAATTGCTTGTGGAGTTTAGTTTCTAACTAGATCCCAGAACAGACACATATTAAAAATAAACCTTGTTGTACAAATAAATCAGTGAATAAAGCAGTATATAAAGCTGAAATAGCTTCTCTCTGGGCTCCATGCACAGAAGACAGGTTGGTTTAGGATTGTTTTTCATGGCTGCTGGAAGCAAGGATTCATTTAAGATTAATTCTCCAAACCTGGAATGGTTTCAAAATGTGAGCTTCAGCAGAGAAATCTTGGAAAATGCCAAGTCAGGAGTGCTCTGGAGTGGTGTTTGGTGTAGGAAGATTTTTATTTGGTCAAGAGCAGCCAGTTCCATGTGTTCTCTGATGAAGTGAGCACAGAATCACTCATTCAGCAAGATTTAGGTAACACTGTCACTGAGTAAGCAGGAAGATGCTGTAGTTTCACATCACTCCTGACAAACTAGCTGGAATCAGGCAGAAATATGGACAAAATCCACACACACATTTCCAGAGAGCAGATGACTTTAGGCTGAAGGTGCATCCAATGGTAACAAATTCCCCTGTTGATATAAAATGTGTAGGAAAGAGGATAAAGCCTAAACACCACCTCACTGGAGTTATGGCATGGATTTCCTTTCCACAATTCCTAAGGATAATAAAGAACCTCCTTGGAACAGTACTACAGTACATTCAGCTGCTTCTTTAGAAGATGGTGTGTTTCTGCTTGTTCATTTTCCATGCTGAGAGTGAGGATATAAAATGGAGGCTTTCTTTAGAGCAAGGAGGTAAGAGGCTTGTTTTGGGAGATGAATTTGCAGTAAACCACAGTACATCTAACAACATATAAGGACACTTCTTCTGCCCTGGACAGTAAACACAGTAACATCACATGCTCATCTCCTTTGCTGTGAAGTGACATTTCTGCACTATCAGATGAGCATATGTTTACTAAAGTAAAGGCCATTTATATGTGGAGAGATTCAGTTATTTTGAATTAAAATAATTGTCAAAGATTCTCTGACAGGCTCAAGCAGCAATGCAAAACTGCTTGGAGTTTTGTGTTGAGACCACTTGATAAAATATCTGAGTGGCCACACATCCCTGTCTGCCCCTCACACCCCCATTCTTCGTATCACACTACAGACTTGTCAGCCACAAGAACATGACTCAGAGTTATCATTAACCCCACTGCAACAACACACTTCTCCTGGGTTCCTCCAGTCCTGACACAATTAGGTCAGTGGAAAAGATTCCTGCTTGTGCACACAGTCTGTGCTTGCCTCTAGAGATAAAGGTAACTTAGAACACAACTGCATCAATGTGACAGCAGCAGTTGTAGTGCTGCCACACAGCAGATGGAAGCAGTTTGCTGTGGAGAATGTTGCTCAAGGTCTTGTTACAGAGAGGAAAAGTGGAAATCACAAGTGATCATATCACAGGTTTGTCCTTGTCCTTATCCAATCAATGTTATTATTTAAGTACCAGTTCATTACAGTGCTCCTGCCCAGATGAAGACAGTAAAATTAAGGTACAAACCACATACCTTTATCTGCTTGTGCCCTCATCTCTGCTCCTTAAGGCAAGGGAACAGAAAAACATTGCTTTGTTAGCTGTTCTAGAAAATGCCAGCCAAGTCCCAGACACATATTTAGGACATTACACAGAGGTCAAAAGTCACAGAGCCTTTGGGACTTAATGGCTGCTGTGTGCTTGGATTTTCCTCTCATTGGAGGTACTAGTGAGAATGTGTGTCAGGTTGCACCATAATCCCATCCCCATTCTCTAAGTTTTGGAATGCATATAAACAGAATACATGTCCCCATGCCTGCCCTACTGTCTCATGCAGCTGTTGACATGTTCTCTCAATGTTTATGTGTAAAAACAAGAGTGCTGGAAAACAACCTCTTGGGAAAACACTGGGGATTGTTCTCCAGCCTGGGGGTGCTCCACCAGGAACAGTCAACTCTTTGTCAGGGACATCAGCTGGACACACAAACTCACTGGGGGTTTGTTCTGGGCCTCTCTGCTTCAGAAACCAAATGAGAATCCACTCTGGGCTTGCCTTTATCTATAGAGTTATTGCCCCCTTTCCAAGGTAATATTTCTAAGTGCTCTCCATTGGGGTAAACTTGTGGAGATTTGCCAAACTATTGTTGCTGGGAATTGTTTTTCCTATCTGGAGGAGTTAAAAAACACTTCCATCCCTGGGGTGACAGGGTAAGGTGACAGCTCACCTTACCCCAGCCCATGACTTTGCATGCCTATGGCTCCTGAGTAAAGACCAAGCAGCTTCTCCTCCTCCAAACACCCTCCTGCTGTTCCTGCATGACCCAAGCAGAGTACAGGTAAAACGGAGAAATATTTTACTCCATAAAATAAAAAGCACAAAGCATGCAGAGAAGTGGTTACACATTTCAACCTGTTTGAATAAACTCCAGTAGCAAATAACTGTACATCCCCTTCTTTTGTGGCTTTAGAGCTAAATTCACAATTGCTTTTTGGCATGGTTTCACTTCCCTTTTCAGAACAGGAGCGTATCACACAGCATCCTGATGAAGTTCTCAGCAAGCAAAGAGGGTTTCCTGTTAAAAAGTCATTCCCAGCTATTGATGTAAAATGTCCCAGAGCACTCAGCTGAATTTGGCTGCAAGGAATTTGCACAAACCATGACAAACTGAGAGGTGTTCTCAGAACACAAACTGTGCAGTTTAATCTGCCCTATTGTGCTGGTACCAAACTCTGTCTGGAGCTGCAGCTGGCTAAATGAAGAGCCCAGCCTCGCTGTGTGTATTATAAGCAGGACAGGATTTCACAATAGCTTTGTATAACCCCTTTGTGCAGATATCCAAGGGCTAAGAGGGCTGATTAACCTCAAATGCCGCTCAGAACAGCCAGCCATCAGAGAACACTGTCTGTCTTTCATAACATGCCAGCAAAAATCTCGTGAGGATGGTCTCAGCAGAGTGTGCAGCCAGATTTCTACCTACCCTTCACCCCTGTGGTAAAAAGGAAAAGCTGCCATTCTGTATAGCACCACTCTCCCATAATCCAAGTCAGGTGGGGGGGAGAGCCACATTATTTCTGTGAAATCCTTTCTCCCAAAGCACAAAACCTGCCACTGACCCTGTCATAAGTGGGCACACAGCCATGGCAAACAGGGGAAGTTACACAAGGGTGCAAAACTGTTTATGGAGCCAGATCACACACTAGTGCCAGTGTTGCCTTGTGGATAGTAGGTGGGGCCTTTGGCATTTGCGTGGGGGCTCTCCAATGAGACCCAGAGCAGGACAAGTCTCCAGCCTTCTGGTTTTCATAACAGTAGCCCCCTCCAGTAGGGCTGAGGCATGGGAGGAGCTTGCCCAAACTCAAATAAACACTGACATGCAGCATCTTATGAAGATGTGCAGCCTCCACAGGACACACTGCAACAGCTGGAAGGACAAGCACTGAAACTGTAAGTATGTCTACCTTCTCCACTTCCTTAACAGCACTAGTAGTTTGTGGCATGTTCTACCTGCACTTACTTGTGCTAGCAGTGTAACCTGCAGTAGTCCCTTGAGCCCATGCATTAACAGCTGCAGAAAATAAACTGAACACCCTATAGACGTATTTATATGAATAGATGGGCATTTCAAAGTTCAGCTTTCCTGTACATCTAAAAAAATCCAACTGTATCTGGAGGATTCTTCTGCTTGTCTCTCCCATCCTAAAGCACTGTTTTATGTAATTAAAAAAAATATTTCTAACATGCAGTCACTGACAGTACTGGCCATAAAGTTACAAAATGCAGAGCTGTGAGATCTACCCAGTAGCTACAGAAAGGTTATGTTGGGAAGCAGCTGGAATTAGCCAGTAAAGAGAAACCAGCTTGCTCAGTAGCTAATACAAGTGTGAAGCAGCAGCACTGTCTTTAAAGTGGCAATAAATTGTTGGAGGAAGTTTCAGTGTAATTGCTCATATTTGCTTCTAATGATAAGGATTCCTGCTTTATGAGGCTTTGTTGATTTGTAAACACCATGGATGAAGGCTATTAATAGAGTACAAGTGTGCAGCAGTCCCTGGTGACCATCATGCTGGTCAGGTCTGCTGGAGATGATGCACCTTCAGGCTGGGACAGGGAGGGGAACAGCACCTGCCCTTACCACCAGCAGCTGTGTCCAGCTGTTTGATTCTGACCTTCCCTTCATCTGTGCTGACAACTGAAGGTGCTGCTGGAAAAACTTCAACAATGAAGTGGCTCTGCATATTACTTATTTTACATTTTAAGGGAACCCAGTATCACCAGGGTTTGTGGCCTTTGTTTAATGGTGTGTTTTAATAAAAACTTTTCAACCTCATATCTCAAGAACTCTTTGTAGCCACCTCTAGGCTGGGTACAGAAGGGGATTAATAGAATTGAACAGCAGTCCAGGTACTGCAAGATGCAACAGCCAAGAAAGTGGTTACGTAGCACAAGGCAGTTGATGCTGACAATCCAGATAATCACTGAATGATGTGCTCTTTGCAACATGAAGGGTGAAGGACATTGGAATGTAACACAAGGCAGAGACTGTCAGAATGTACATCATACACTACAATCTGCCTGGTTAACAGAAGTCATATATGAGGCCACTAAAATCTCAGCATTTTACCAGATCTGATCATTTAAACGCTGGTTTTGAATATTTTCACTCACTTTGTTTGGGACAGTGTTTTTATGTTTCCACCTTTTTTCCTCCCATGTGAAGGCTATCAAGGAAAAGTCATTTATTCAGAAATGCAGAACATCTCATTTATCTAAAGGACTCTGAGGCTAAAAGCCTTTAAGAAAGCCATCACCTATCATGAGAGGCCAACTAAAGTTAAGAGCACAGTCAACACCAGATAACCCACCAAACCACTACTGCTTTTTCATCCAGGAGCAAAAAGACTGAAGCGAATGCCTTTTGACTTACAGATCTCCACAACACTCCCACTTGCAGAATCTCATTTTGCTGTCAGGAAATACCTTTTTGTCATGGAGAAGCAAGGGCAGCATATTCTGAAAGAACACTTCCTCCAGTAGAGATAGTTTCTTGGTCCTGGTGCTCTGTTCCTGCAGGACTAAATAGCTTTCAGCCATTTTCAGGCCTTCCAGCAGTTCAGCAACAACTGAAAAGCCCTAGTGCCATATTAATTTAAGAGATACCAATGAACTGTGTCTGCTTTCCAGCTCTGGCAAGATGATCAAGTCCTTCAAGCAAACATTTCTGTCTCTGGACCTGCAGTCCCCTCGCTGGAGCTCAGCAGAGGCAATGGTAACTGCAGCGATACTTCTATGCTGATTTGGAAAAAGTAGCTCCTAATTTCTGTCCCCACCCAGCTCATGGTGACTGTGCCTTTTGCTGCCTTTCAGGCAAAGGACTATGAACTGCGTCAGTACGAGACAGCCAAGTGGGTCAGCACGGTCATCAGGGGGGAAAGCCAAAAGGAAGCAATGCGCCAGGGCTTCTGGAAACTCTTCCACTACCTCCAGGGAAAGAACGAAAAAGGTAGGACAAGCTGGTTTTCAATGAAAATAATAACAAGTAGTTAATGAACACAAATGATGAACAATAGAGGGGCTGGGAGATGTAGATTAAGACTGGTTTTCCTGGTTTTCCTTTCCTCTAGAAATGAAGATTGATATGACTGTGCCAGTGACCTGCCTGGTAAAATCAGGCTGCACAGACTTCAAGATCTCTTTCTTTGTGCCATTTGAACACCAGGACTGTCCCCCCCAGCCCACTGACTCCGATGTGTTCATTGAGGAACGGAAGGCAGCAGCTCTCTTTGTGCGGTGAGCAGAACAGCACAGGTGACACCACGAGAACCCAGGGCAGTACCTGCCCTCATTAAAGTGCAGGCTACACTTGCTTAAGAGATGATTAAATATGGATAGACCCTGCTGTTCAGTTTTAATTGCTAAAACCCAGCCCTTAGACAATCTTATGCTTGGGTGTCTTACCATAAAGACAAGTGACCAAGTTGTGAAATAGATTTTTTTCAAAGGCACTTGAAAATTGCATTGAGTTTCAGAGATGCAGCCTCCAGGATTATCTTCTGAAGATAGTCTGTTTTACAGAATATCTAAACCACTCTCCCAGCTCTTTATTTGTAGTCCTGAACTGCCACAGAATACACAGGGCAGTTGGTACTTGGGTGCTTGTTTTAAATGTTACCTTAAAAACCAAGGACCCGTGCTGCTTGACTGCTAGTTCGGCATGGGTAATTACTAACTACAAACTGCAGCACAAGTGCTCAAACTTGCTTTGTAAGTCTGGGTATTCTGTCTGTGAAAATAAAGCCAGGGCCTTGAGCCAAAACATCTCCTTTTCTCACTTTCACCAGGTCCTTTGGTGGATTTGCTTCCCCAGAGAAGTATGCTGAGGAAGCCAATGCCTTGGCCAGAACCTTAAGAAACCGAGGCCAACCATTCCACGAAGACTTCTTTTATACTGCAGGCTATGACAGCCCCTTCAAGCTCTTCAACAGGCATAATGAAGTGTGGTATTTTAAAAAGTAACACAATGGGAGAATATTAAGTGGCTACTAATCAGCTCTGGATGAAAACAGACCTTATTATTGGCTTTTTAGTGCAGAAGAGTTTTAATTCACTTGTGGACACTGTCCAAATATATTTTCTCTAGGATGAAATACTTTTCTGGATAAAAACATTTCAAAATGTAATTCAAAATCATACCAGATGGAGTGGGTGGGAAATGTAACAAATTTACTCCTCCTACTGAAAGATTCTAAGCCGCACTAATAATGTGAAAATAATCCTGCTGTATTTTAAGTGTGTAGTTTATTTCTCATTAGAAGTGCTACAGCAGTAGTTGAAATGTTATGGAAAGGGAGTTCTTCATAACTGACTTTCATATGCTGACTTTCCTCATATTGACATCACCCCTGAGACCAGGGAGGAATTTAAATGAATTTTTCAGAGAAGCAAGCTTCCCTTAAGGAGCATTAGAAAGCAGAAACACAATGGCAGGCCTTAGTGACTTTTAAACAGTAACTGTTATTAATTAGTATTACGAAAATCTCCCACCTCTCCAACTTTTTCCCCCCCTGAAGACCAAGTGTTGTGTTGTTTAAATCCAGAACCCTTGGAAACAGGTTACCAGGTCCAAGCTGTACACTTGTTCTGAGAAGATCTCCACCTCAATATGTAATACCAGAATTACTGGGTATACTATCATTTTAGTAGCAAATAGCCAAGTGTAGCTCTCTCATTAAAACACTTGAAATAAATACTCCCTAACTTATTTAGCTCTCTGAAAAATATGGTGACTTGCAGCCTGCACACCAGCAGTATTTGACACCTCAGTTGAGACACTTGCAGGACTAGCATCTAGCCTAGTTTAGTCCCTGCTCTAAATAAAGCATTTTAAATTTAAATATAGCAGCCTGAGGTACTTTGCATCAAGCTGTTCCAGCCAGAAAGGAGGCCACAACACCAGGTAGAGTTTACAGATTTTTATTCACTCCAATCAACATCAGGCAAACATTACCAGTGAGGTAAAAACACATTGCCTTTTAAAATGCTGTTCATGCAAGTGTAACCCATTCATCCAATCTTCCACCTATTAAGACAGACAGAAGAACCATTATAAGGTACCAAACCAGCACAACACACTTGATGGGAACATATCAGACCTTAGGATTTCATCTCTGTTCAGTGAGAGAGTTCAAGCTAAGGTTATCATCACTTGTTCCAACAAATACATTACTGCTGTTACACTCACCTTCTCAATTCTTCATGTGCTAGTTTCAGAGTTGCCTCTCCACCTAAATCAAGAAAACACAGTTAGCATATGCAGCAGCACAACTGCTAAAAGCTCCACAACAGTTTTGTAACCTCAGATAGAAATGGAACGGAAAGGGTGATATCACAGTAACTCATTTGGCAGAATCAATTTCATCACTGGCTACAAATATTTCCAGAAGTTTTTAACACAATCCATCTGTTGTGTGGACTTACCCAGTGAGGCCGCAGACACAGCACAGTCCCTTCCTGAGGAAGAAAGAAATACTTTCAGAATAACAGACAGCAGCACTAAATGCAAAGTTTATTTATCTATTCATTTCTATTCACTAAACTTTTACCTAAAAGGAAACTGACTTTTAATTGGCATCTCACAAGTTCAATTTACAACACCCAAAGAGGATACACATAGCTTACAAATCCTAACTTAACTGGAAATACAGAATTCCTAACACTGGAAGAATCAGGGAAAGTAAAAAGCTACTAATTTGATTTGTGATACTGCCTCTCCGAACAATGCTGTATTTCATTCTTTTAAATACCTAAAATACGAGTCCCATGGCTTCAATTTTAAAAGTGTTTGGAATGTTCCAGTTTGTTTGAAAACAAGTTTGTACAGCAATAATCTAGAACTTGAGCTACATTTGTGTAGGGCCAATATAAAGATTACTAGTAACAACTTTGAGAAGTGACAGCCACAGACAATGTTTTTATTTTAACTCCAGAGTGCAGTGTTACAGTAGTGCCCACAGAACAGCCAGATACAATAAAAGGAAGCAAAACCAGGTATCTTAAAGGACTAATTTTAGGCACCACTATTTAGGCATTCAGCACAAAGACAATACTGCAGGAATTATTAAATCCCATGTATTCTACACTTACCTCAGGCACATTTATCTTGTTTCTCAAACTCCATGCAAGCATCACCCTGTAAAGAAGGGAAATTGTACTAACACCCCTTTGGCAGTGGTTTGAACGAGTGTCAATGTGGGTACTGTTTCAGCACAGGAGTTCTCCTCAGCCTCTTTCAGAGAGATTCCCATTGTTTAGAATTCATCACAAACAGTACATGCCAAGAGTAGCTTAATGGTGTATCTTTGTGACAAACCCTTTAAAGGGGATCTGACCTCAGCCCCAACCACATCTTCATTCACATCACCACAAGAGCTCTGATCTAGCCATTGAGATAAACAATTTAACACCTAAGCATTCAAGATCAGTGCCACCCCCTGAAACTGCCCATTAAATTTAAACAGCAAGAAGTTTAATAGCAGGTACTGCTATTGTACTGCATTTATTTAGCCCAGAATGTGTGGCAACCTGGTAGCACAGAGCTTTTCTTTTTAAGTAGGAATTCAAGAAGTCCATAAGAGTTACACATTTAACATGGTCACCACTATTTCTCTTCAGTCACAGAAAGCAGTTTATTTTGAGATATGCAGCACCTTGGGGGAGCGAATCCTGCAGGCTGCTGGCAAATCCAGGGTTTTTACCTGGAACAGGTAATAAAATCAAGAACCTTGCTTAATGCTGCAGCCAGCCCTGTAACACCCAGGATCTAGTAAATCCCTCATTCCCTGTGTCACACAGTTCTGACAGTCACACTCGTGTTACTAACTTACTTTTGCTGGCAGCACTCCCAGGTCCATCACATCCCACCTCCATCACACCTGGTTTAAAGCAAACCATTAGCACAGTACAGAAACAAGCACAGAAGGAAAAACCCAAGTCAGGTGCCTGCAGTCAGATAGAGCTAATTACAGACCTCCATGATTGAAGTCAAGGCAGTCACATCTCATCACACAGGCAGCTCATACTGTCAGCCCTGTGCAGCCCTGCTAGGCTGCTATGGGCAAGAGGGCAAACACTTAATTAGTGCCATCAGAGCAAATTCAAGAGGAGCTCACTGTGATAGTTTAGTGCACACCAGCCTGTCAAGACTGGGCTCCAGCCAGCAGCTCCCCTTTAAAAGATCCTCCTGTTTTGGCTGAGAGGCATGCCACAGCCAATGGGCCCCATGCCCCCTAGCTGACAAGAAGTTAAAACTTAATTTATGGGCCTATGTTGAAATCCCAACATTTAGGAAGTAAAGTACTTACCTCACAATGAGAAGCATTTGGAAGCCTGCAAAGAAAAATCTGCTATTAGCCAAGGTCCAGCAGGAAGTTAGAGTATTAAGAACAGCTTGAGTGAACTACTGTATCAGGGTTTGGTTCATTCCTCCTCATGGGGATCAGAGACCTGATTCAACATCATTTACAGTAGGCTGCAACACTCCTATCCCCTTCTGAAGGCAGGTTGTAATGAAGCCACTTCCCAGCACTCTTCAATACTGAGATGTTCATTCCTCACCTCACCAATGCTGAAATTGCTGGAAGGAGCAAACCTTGCAACTGCAGAGTTCAGTGATGTGAGGTTTGTGTAACCAAGTTGGGCATATGAAGGGTAACTATTTTGGACACTAAAGTCATAGTAACATGGCATTCACCATTTAGTTTCAACAGGAAAATTCTAGAGATTATTAACACCACAATTATTTGATGCTTTTACTGTGAAATACAGGAAGCTAAAAGCACACTTACAGTACTAATTTTTGCCTCTCACTTTTTAAGAACAAAATGATTTATAATCATCTTTAAAAGCAGACTCACAAATGCAGCACAGACAAAAGTAGCATCCATCTAAAAAATGAATGTTTAGTAATTACCTTTAATTAGGAAGGTCTTGTCTTCAACATCAGCAACAGGTGAAATGGTTTCTCACACAAAAGGCATGGGGCCCATCTGTCAAGGGCAGCCTGCAAAGCAACAAGAACTTCTAGAACCTGGAGCACCAACACCTGATTAACTTTATTCTGCTATGTTTTGTGCTTGACTTGACAACCACATCCTACTCTCCATCTTTCTATTCATCTTACTACTTTTTTTATTGTTTAAACTACTTACTGGTCTCCTGAGATAAATATAGAGGAAAAAAAAGTGTATCCCCTTCAGCTTCCCACATGATCTGTCTGAACTTGCCTAAGCTACAGAGGCTGCATCAGAAATTGGCGAAAGACAGGAACTGTGATCATCACAGGTCATCTGCTGAACTATGCACTCATCACACAGCAGCCTTTGCACACAGCAGGGATTAAATGAGTTCTCAGATGTCAGCAGTGCAGTACTTACCTTGTAAACGCCTACAGTTTTATCTCCCAGTGCCTGCAAGAACAGAAAACAAAGTCAGATCCCTTCAGCCCTTGTGCCCAAGCCCACAGCCCCTGCTGGGAGATCACAAGAGCCAGATACATCAGATAGGGGCGAAGCACTGTGCTCATCACAGGACATTCTGCTGAACTATGCAGTCATCACTGTATCTGCTCTGCAACCACAGCACCAAGCAATCCCCTCTTGGGACTGCTGTGACAAGGACATTTCCCCAATTAAAAAAGAAATATTTACAAGTTTGAATACTAACAAGTATAAATTGCTTCTGGTCCTAGTGGAAATGAACCATAAAACACATGCCATCCTTCTTACTGCAGTGTTCTAACAGCTCTGTGGAAGCAACCTCAATGGAAGTACGTATTTCTTACCAGGTGATGATGCTCCTTCTGCATCCCTCTGAAGCGCAGAGTTCAAATCCTAGAAGTAAAACACTTGTCAACAGTCTATTCAGCAGTCAAAGCCTCGAGGGGAATTTGAAGCTGCTGTGCCTCAGAAAACTTTTATGGTGGTAAAAGTGTTCATCACTCTCTTGGTCAAGAGTAGCAAATAAGTGTCATCACTGTGGCACCAGAGGAAGAGCTTTACTCAAGGAATTCAGCTGACAGCATCAGAGCAGCAGATGCTGTCTAGACAAACCCTAAGCATAACTTTAAATTGAATTTTTAAGAATAATTTTTTTACCTTGGAAAGAAGTAGTATTAGGTCTCCACATTTGGGGACGGATCTGAAAGAGATAAAAGAGTTAGATGGAGATGTTTGCAGAACTAGGGATCTTCTCTGGCAACCACATTGGAAAGCCTCAGCATGGAGTTTTCAGAAATCACTTCTGTCCACTACTCTTTATACTGAAACCATCACAGGCTTTGGGATTTACTCAGTATCAATCCCCATAGTTAACAATTTTCTACAACATACTCCAGTTTTCCCAAAACATTATTTACAGCTGTGAACAAAGAAACAGCAGTAAGGAAAAAAGGCCCTGGGGGTACTCTTGCACTCTGATTACAGAATGAGCAGTAGTTCATAAACAGGAGCCTCATAAACAAACACTCTCCAGGACAAGTCAACAGGTGACTTTTCCCAGCAGAAAAGTGACGCCTGCCCGAGACACTACGGGCAATGCCTGAATTACAACCCTGATACTGCAACTCCTGATACAGCAGTACCCCAGTCTGGTCGGTGTACACAAACCCAACATCTGTTGATTTTAACTCTGTATTTCAGAAGCAATATTTACCTGCACTGAAGCCACAGGAAGGAAGAGTGTAGCTGATACATGTTGAACTGAAAACAAGAAAGCATTTTCGTTTTTCTTCATCCAAAATTGATGCAATATTCACAAATATTACTTCGAAAAATCCAAGCAACACCCAAAATACTTTGAGTCTTATGATTTCCCCTAATGCAGTCTAAATTTTGGCTCTTTAAAGAAACTGAGATCACAAAAGATAATTGCTATTTTTGTATTTTTAAGCAGGATGGGATCATTAAGCTACTTTGTTTCCTAAAAAATCAATTCTGGTGTATTACCACCGGGGCAGCCAGGCAGGCATGAACTCTGGGTGCTTCAAAGGCCCAGTGGTGTCCCAGCCTTCCCGGATAAGGCCATCAGAACCATCCCACGCCCAGCTCAGATATGTTGGCATTCATCACCCTCTCAGATGTCCCTACCAACATAGTTCTCATCACGTGCTGGGCATATAGAGGCGAAGTGAGCCACTTCTCTTCAAATGTGCTGAGTCAGGACCCACAAGGACCACAGAGTTTAATTCCCAGACTCGCACAGGCCAAGAGTCACCGACCGATGTGCCTGAGAGCACCGTGCCAATGTTTCCCAAAGCCCAGCAGGGCCGGGGCTGTGAAGCCAGCCCTTAACCCTCCTACATGCAAACACATCCCAGCTGTGCGGGACGCTGAATCCGTCCATAACGCTACCGCTGCTCTTTGCACAACTTTCCCATTTATCTGCAAAAACAAGCTCCTTAGAGCCCAGCTCAGTTAAAAAACCCGAACCCACAAAAAGCAGAGACCTATCGCTTGTGTTTGCAGCAGGCACGTGAAGCCGCCATACTGCACGGCCCCATCCCATGCACAGCAGCCTGGTAGGCCAGAGCCCGGAACTCAACGCCTGAGGCCTTGCATTGCCCCGGTATTTCCCCAAACCCGTGTGGGCTCCACAGGGCCCCCCTTGTGCATGCCCAAGGCCGCCATGAGGCGGAGCCCCCAGCGGTCTAGGCCGCGACCAGGCCGGGCCGCGCAATCCACCTCAATCCTCCCTCGCCACCTCCCATCCGCGCCCGGGCCGCACTCGCGGGGCTCCTCGGCCGCCCCCCGGAGCGGCACCGGCGCACCCCGAGCGCGGAATCGCCCCCACTCACCGGCGGGGCGACCGAGGGACACAGAACCCCCACGGCCGCGGGAGCGGAAAAGGGAGAACGGTTGGAGGACGTACCTTATATAGCACAGGTCACGTGGTACGGCCGCGGCCACACCCACCGGGGCGCGGCCCACGGGCAGGGGCGGGCCGGGGGCGTACGGTCCGCACGGCGTTTCCTTCCGGGGCGCGGCCCGCGCTGGCGCGTTTCGGTTCCGGGCCGGCGCTGCGGGCCCTTCCCACCCCCGGCAGGTGAGGCTGGGCCGGGAGAGGCGGGCGGAGCCGCTCGGGGCCCCGGAGCGGCGGGGGCGCGGCCGCCGCCCCGCGGGAGCCAGGCCGGGAGGGGCGGGGGCTGGGGGAGGCCGGTCCCGCCCGCCCCGCGCAGCCCCGGTGCGCGGCCGCGGCTGTCACGGTGAGGAGGAGCCGCGGGCCCCGCCTGGGGAGGGTCGGGAGCGCCGGGGCCGGGACAGCGGGCTCCAGGAGCCTGGTGCTGAGGGAGGGCGGCGGACGGGCCGGGAGCCACCGCCGCCTGTCCCAGCTCAGAGTTGTGTTTGGGCTCGGAGTTGTCGGAGTCCCGTTGGAACGGGCAGGCGGCCCAAGGGGTTTGTTGGGCAGGAATCGTTACCGGTTAGCGTGGGGAGGCCCTGGCACAGAGAAGCTGTGGCTGCCCCCGGATCCCTGGCAGTGTCCAAGGCCAGGCTGGTCAGGGATTGGAGCACCCTGGGACAGTGGGAGGTGTCCCTGCTCATGGCAGGGGTGAGACGGGATGAGCTTTAAGTCCCTTCCAACCCAAACCACTCTGGGATTCTAAGTATGCCTCTCTGGGACGAGGGACAGGAGCCATGGAACGGCTGGAGTTTTGTCAGAGGAGGTTTAGTCTGGATGGTTCAGACTAAAGGTTCTTTAAAAGGCTCTTCCCCAGAGGGTGCTGGCAGTGCCCAGGCTGCCCAGGGAATGGGCACAGCCTCAAGGCTGCCAGAGCTCCAGGAGGGTTTGGACAATGCTGTCAGGCACAGGGTGGGATAGTTAAGCTATCTGTGGAGGGCCAGGAGTTGGACTCAGTGATCCTTGTGGGTCCCTTCCAGCTCAGGATATTCTGTGAAGTTGCCCAGTCACGGTAAATCTCAGCCCAAAAGCTGAGTTTTCAGTGCAGCTTCCAGGGTGACATCATCTGCTGGGTGGTCTGTCTCTGCTGCTTTCCTGACGGATCAGGAATTCCACCCACTCCTGGTCGCTGCCTCACAGGCTAGAGGGCATTTGCTGAGCTAAGTCTGAGTCTCAGCTAGTGTCACTTGAAATGCCATTACAAAGAGCACTGTCTCAGTGTGTGCCCTGTGCTGACTCAGCTCAGCCTGCACGTAAAGGTGGCTGGAGGTGATGGACTTCCCAGAGCAGGCAGAAATCAGGATGTCATTGCCCTGGGGCTGAGGTGCAGGAGCTCTGAGAGATTCCCTTACTCAGAGGGGCAGAAATCAGCCTCTGACAGAGCAGTTTGAACCAAAAGACAGATTCCCTCTCCCCAGCCTCTGAGTGGATCATAATGTGCAGGTTCCTTGGTGCTGGGTGAGCAGGGTTCTGTGGGTTATAAAGAGTAGATGGATTTTCCCTGCCTCTGGAGCAGGAGCTCACAGAAAATTTGTTGAGCTCACAGATAATTTGTTGGGCTCTCTGGGGAGCAGCTGCCTTCTCACCACAGCCATACCCAGCCATGCTCAGCAGTTAAGGGCTGATGATTTTTTTTCCCCTTCTACTTCTGTATATCCCAATCTCAGCCTCTGCCTCCCTCTTGCCTCCCTGGGTGCTCGTGGCCTTGGCAGGGGTGTTTCACCCTTGCCTTCCTTGAGAGTGTACTCTGAGGCCTATTGCTTTAGGAACAGCTGTTTGGGGAAGATGGTGAGCTAATCCTGCTGCTAGATCCTCCAGCAGAACCAAGAATGACAAAGCTTGATGTTCACAACTGCTCTTGGGAGAGCCCAATTCCTCTGCACTTCATTTTTTCTTTCTTTTTACCTCCTAAAGGGGAAGGGGGCAACAAGTTTTCTTCTTACTACATCAGAAGACAAAAAGAAGGCAGCACCCCCATTTCCTTCCCACTGCATGCAACTCACAGCACTCCAGGTAAGATGTTGGGTTTTCTATTTCCCCTTGTTCTGTGCAGTTGGTGTTCTGCTCCCAATGCTGTGTTGGCACAGAGCTGTGCACTGTGGTTTCTGATTTTTGTGGGATTTGTTGCTTTCTCCGAAAGACAGGGAAGGACATGGAGCTGTTGGGGTGAGTCCAGAGGAGACACCAAGATGATCAGACAGATGGAGAAGCTCTGCTGTGAGGGAAGGCTGAGAGAATTGGGGTAGTTCAGCCAGGAGAAGAGAAGCTTCAGGGTGACCTAAATGTGGCCTCCAGTGCCTGAAGGAGCCAAAAGGAAAGACAGAGAGAGACTCAGGACAAGGGATGGAGGGATAGGATGAGGGAGAATGGCTTCTCACTGACAGAGAGTAGGTTTAGATTGGATATTGGGAATTAATTGTTCCCTGTGAGGGTGGGCAGGCCCTGGCACAGGGTGCCCAGAGAAGCTGGGGCTGCCCCGGGATCCCTGGCAGTGTGCAAGGCCAGGTTGGATGGGGCTTGGAGCACCCTGGGATAGTGGAAGGTGTCCTTGCCCATGGCAGGGGATGGGACTGGATGGGCTTTAAGGTCCCTTCCATCCCAAACCATTCTGTGATTCTGTGGTAGGGGAAGGAAAGAAGAAGCCCTACGACATGGCACTGTTCAGCTGCACCTTGTGAAGCTTTGTGCACTCTGGTCTGACTTCCCCAGGGACACTCAGCCATCCTCCCACTCAGAAATCCTTGGCACAGCTCCACAAGATTGACAGGCTGTCCTGCAACTTCGTGTTTAGTCACTGGGTTTGCCAGGTTTGCACAGAGCCTGCTTGGGCATATGGACATGTGCTATGCTGCAATGTTCATCAATTCCAAATAAAAAGTCCTCCAAAGGCAGACATGCTCTTCATGTGCCAATCCCTTCCATTCAGAGATTCCTCAGAGTGGGCACTGTGAGCCTTGGTATTCCCAGCCTGCTTGAAATGGTTTTGTCATCTGCAGGACTCTGCTCAATCCACACTTCAGATGCTCTCTGGCTTGGGAGCTGCTTATGCCATGAGTGGACTTTAACAAGCTTATTTATTTCCTTTTTTTTTTTCTTGGATTTTCTTGGATGAGTTTATGTCTCACTTTCATTCATTCCAACTTTTGACCATATATGGTCAGGGCTTCTTTTCCAACTTTGCCAGAAGGAAATGTGATGATGTGGTGGTGCATCCCCAGTCCCCTCCCTGGCCCTGCTCTGAGATCTCCTGATAAGCCTTGGTGGACTTGGCCCTGACTGCACCAGCTAGGCAGTGAGGTGCTCCCTGAGCCTGCCAGGAGCCCTTGTAGAGGTGGGAACAACGAGGAACATCCCAGCCCAGGTGGGAAACAAGGGATGAGCCATGTGCAGCCTGGGTGAAGGATTTACCTGGATTGCAGCCCGAGCAGAGCAGCACCATTGTGAACTGTAGCCCAAGTGGAACAATCCCACTATTGCTCTGCTTGGGAAAGAGTCCAGGAGTTACTGACCTAGGGTATGGCCAGGATGGGGACTTAGTGATGACCACTGTGAAGTCTCTTGGGACCCTGCAAAAGTGATCCCGAGTGAAGCCCTCTGAGCTCTCCTGGGCCACAGCTTTATTTTGCACTCTCCTGTTATGTATTTCCTGGCATGTGTCAGAAGTGCAACATATGATGGATATCTCAGGTTAACAAGGCACTTAGGATGCCTTGAGGTCAGATGTGTGCTGGCCAACTTTTCAAAAGTCTCAGAAGGATTTAGGTCTCAGTGTCTCCTTCCTGGTTCCTGTTTTACAAAGGAGCTTTCCCTGTTACTTTCTCTTTTCAAGATGCTTAGGAGGTACAAGTGGTGAGAATTTTAATCCATTATGCAATCAGGTGGCTGTTTTTAATACCTGTGCCATTTTATGTTCTTTTCACATGCAGATGTGCTTTTAATTGAGGCTGACAGAACAAAGTGTTTTGCAGGCTAAAGCTGCAGGGAATGGGGGCCTGTTGGGGACTGGTTTAGCAGACCTCTTGTGAAGGGGGATGCATGGAGAGATCAGGGAGCTTTTGGGATGCTTTTTTAAGCAATCTCAAACACACTCATTCATAACAGAGCTGCTGCCAGATGTGTGGCAGTTCAGTGGGTGAGGAAGGTCTCTAAAAACTCCAGTGTTTCAAATTGTGTGGAAGCAGGTGAAAAAAGTTTTAATTTCAAATGATTGGTTCTGCTAATGACGGGATCTTTTCCCCCTTTTGCAGTAGAGTGGTGCACCTGCAGCTGGGACAGCCATGGAGAAGAGTGGGAACATTCAGCTGGAGATTCCCAACTTCAGTAACTCTGTCCTGAGCCACCTGAACCAGCTGCGCATGCAGGGCCGGCTGTGTGACATCGTGGTCAACGTGCAGGGCCAGGCTTTCCGTGCGCACAAGGTGGTGCTGGCCGCCAGCTCCCCCTACTTCCGCGACCACATGTCCCTGAACGAGATGAGCACCGTGTCCATCTCCGTCATCAAGAACCCTTCCGTGTTCGAGCAGCTCCTCTCCTTCTGCTACACGGGCAGGATATGTCTGCAGCTGGCTGACATCATCAGCTACCTGACAGCTGCCAGCTTCTTGCAGATGCAGCACATCATAGACAAATGCACGCAGATACTCGAGGGGATTCATTTCAAAATTAACGTGGCCGAGGTGGAAGCGGAGTTGAGCCAGAGCAGGACGAAGCATCAGGAGAGGCCGCCCGAGTCTCACCGGGTGACGCCGACTCTGAACCGTCCCCTGAGCCCCCGCCACAACGCCCCCAAGGGGAGCCGCCTGGGCCAGGTCAGCACCGTGCTGGACATTCGGGAGCTGAGCCCGCCCGAGGAATCCACCAGCCCCCAGATCATCGAGCAGAGCTCCGATGTGGAAGGCAGGGAGCCCATCCTGCGCATCAACAGGGCGGGACAGTGGTACGTGGAGACGGGCATGGGAGAGCGCGGGGCGCAGAACGACGAGGAGGTGCGCGTGCTGGGAGGAGTGCGCATAAAGACGGAAAACCTGGAGGAGTGGCTGGGGACGGAGCACCAGCCCTCGGGAGAGGATGGCAGCAGCGCTGAGGAGGTCACGGCCATGGTGATCGACACCACGGGCCACGGATCCCTGGGCCAGGAGGCCTTTGCCTTAGGCTCCTCTGGAGCCAAAGTGGTCAGGCCCACCAGCAGTGAGATCGACAGGTGGGTGCTCTTAAACTTCATTATTCACCTTGGCTGTAACAGGAAGTTATGCAAGATTCTGACCTGGCTGGGTCAGTCACTTTGGAACATTTCGTCTTTCTATTTCCTTTGGCCATCTTAAACATAAAAGTGAAAGGGTTTTTACCAGCTGTTAGGAAGTGTGTCCAGTTTGGGCAATAGTATTTTGGCTGGGTAGTGATCAGACAAGGATCTTCAGGTACAGGGTTTAGCTTGGGAAATTACTTATTAGCTCTTAGAGGTTGGGATCTCTACCTCTCAGTGTCTCAGCTGAGGTGATTTTTTTTTTAAAGATGTTTAGTTCAGCCTCAGCACTCAGATTAATGAGGTCATATACAGTATGTGTTACATTTCTCCATTACACTGGTGCCTTCTGACCCAGAGATCTGGGGATGGTTCTGGCTGAGAAACAAGCTAGACACCAGCTGTAGGTCAAGGTCTTCCCAGTGGGCCCTGGGTTTACATCTTCTGAGGCAGTTGAAATGGGGAACCCAGTGACCTCCACTGTTGTTCTGATTTATATGAGAGAGCCGAAAGCCTTTGTTGAAAATGAGTGTTGAAATCCGCTGTGTTTGGATTCTCCATCCATCTGTTTCCCCTCTACTCCAGCATTTGCTTTCTTCCCCTAGGCTCAGGCCAGAGAATGGATTTGATAAAGGGCAGGTCTGTTTTATTTGGGGGGGTTGTAATTCTAGGGTTTCCCTTCACATCTGCCTCTCTTCTAGCTCAAGTCCATGGGGAAACAGCTACCTGGAAGCAGTGGATATTCTGTCACTTTTGCTTAATAAATCAATCAGTGGGAATAAACTTGGAGAGTGATGCTTTCTACTTCCTTAGCCCTTTTCCTTGGATCAGCTAGTCTCTAGCACCTCTTTTTGCACTGCAGTCTGTATGCACTGTTTCCCACCTCTAGTCCATCACATCCCTTGTGTTTCACACTGGGAATGGAGGAGGAGGGTACTGGAGGAGAGATGTCCTCTGAGAAATGGTTTCTGTCCTGCTGTACAGTTCCTGAGTCACCAGGCCCATTTTGGTTTATTCATGATAGCAATTCCTCTCTGTTGCTGAACTGGAAGCCAAATGACTCAGTTTTATTTCTCAGTTGTTTAGACTGAAACCATAGACCGGTTTGATTTGTTTTTTTCCTTTATATTTGCATTGTTCCACTTCCAGTGTGTTAGCTGATGAGGCTGAAGAGATGCTGTACAGGGGCCTCTATTGCTCACCCATTGCTCTAAACACTGTAGTGCCCTGATGCCCATTATAAATCCCATTTCCACTCTCCCCACCCACAGGTTTAGCCCTTCTGGCAGCATGGTTGCTGTGACTGAGAGGTACAGATCGAAAAGCGAGTCTCCGGGGCGGATGGATGAGCCTAAGCAGCCCAGTTCCCAGGTAGGCAGATCAAGGTGTTTGCAAGTAAACGTTGGCTTGAAGGTGAAGGGGACTTTGTGGTGATGAAGTTACCATATTTTTTATTTGCAAGCAATAATGTGTGTGATACAAGGACCTTTTACTTTGGCAAAGGATCTACCTGCTCACAGGAGAACATGTGCTGAGCAAGTACGATTTAAAATGGATTCTGGCTGTTTGGGATTTTGGCCAGATACTTGGAAAACACAAGGAGTTTCTCTTGTTGTTTGAGGGCGTAAATATCCACCCTTATTCTGGGCAGGCCACCAACTCCTGAGGAGAAACCCCATTTGCCTGCAGAGCTGGATCTGCCCTCAAACACTGGCAGCAAATGCCTGAGCAGAGGGAGGAGGTGTGGCTTGGCTTCTGTGGAAGATGGGTGACAACAGCTGAATCTTTCTATGCCGGTACCAAGACCATTCCCAAAAGCCCTCCAGGCACTACACCAATAAACGTTTTGGGGTGCAGTGTCAAAGAGCTGTGGAGTTTTAGAGAGGTCTCTATCTCTTCTCCACAGCAGACTTTGCAACATAAAGGAGCTCTGAATTCTCTGCTTTCTTGGGCACAGTTTTGGGGTAGGAGGGAGAGATGCACAGAAATGGGAGGGCAGTGGGCTGTAGAGTGCAGCAAAGTGGGACATGGCAGTAATGCCTGTGCTTTATCATTGTGGTCTAATTTAGTTGCATCCAGTTAGTGTCTCAGTGCCACTGTAGTGCAAGCATGTCAGCCAGCACAGTGCAGAAAGACTCTTGTGAGCCTGACAGGTAGGGAATGTGTCAGTGTGTAAGCTAAGGACTTGGCTGGAGGTGGGTAAGGAGATACTAGGCTGCTTTGCTCTTGAGTAAGAGCAAGTGAAGCAAGGGGGCTAAAATTGTGACTGCTGTCTGCTGGCTTTGTTAGACACTTCCATAAAATGACAGATACCTTTTTGTTCCTGTTTTGCAAAGCTTTGTTTTCTGTCTTCAGAAGACATTGCAAAAATTTCAGGTCATACCAACCCTCTGGGGTAAATGTGACATATTAAGCAATTTTAGCTCTGCCTACAGAAAAAGTGCTCTTATTTCTCCATTGTGAGACAGCCTCAAACATGAAACCTTAGTCTTTACTCACCATGGGGAAGTATCATCCCCTTCCACTCTCCTGGCATTGCGATATCCATACTAAAATAGCCTGGCAGTGATCCCTGCCCAATGGCAGTGGTAGAGTGGAAAGGAAGAACCAGAGCTTTGTGTATCTCCTTTATGCCTGTACAGCTGGATTCAGCAGCACCTGGCACAGTACACTGCTGCTGATGCCTGTAGAGCCCTGGCTTGCAGAGATGCTCTCCTGCTGGTTGCTTCTCCCCATTTGGCACCAGTGGGAAGCAGCACTGGGGGAGTAAACAGTGCATCTCCAGCACAGAAGCATTCTGGAGTCTGTGTGTTTCTGCTCAATCTGAATACAATGGCCAGAAGTGTCTGTCCTGAGACCAGGCTTGTGGTTCAGGTTGCTCTTGGCTGTTTGTCTGTGTGACTTCAGGAAATACAGAGGAGTCTTTGCTGTGCAAGCTGGGTCAGGCACATCCTTGTCTGCAATGCCACGGGGCTGGGATGGATTACACAGCCAGGCAGGCAAATAGCACTCACTGTAAAATGAACTCTAAGTGACATCTGAATAAATACCTGTGTAAAATGACACCTGAAGACTTTCAGATATGATTTGTGGTTTGCTCCTCCTTTGTTTTACTGCAAGCTCTTCAGTTGGCTTCTTTTTTTTTTGGACTTTTACTAAGGAAAACAGAAGGTGATACACCCAAGTGTTTAATTAAACAGGCACAAATTTTTTAAAAAGTAACAAGTATTGACATGTGGTCCACAACTGAATTGGTGGCCGAGTGCCCTTGTTTAAGGGCTGCCTTTTCTTCACCAGATCCAGGGAATGGCTTGGCAGAGGGGCCCTTTGCAGCAGTGGTTTCTAATTGATTGCTCGTTTGTCTTCAGCCCCGAGGCCCCAGTTAAGCACTTAAGTGTGTGCTTGAGGTTACAGACATTAGTGCTGCTGATTTTGAGGTTTGGCACATGCTTTACTGGCTGGACCCGGGCCCGATCTTCTCTACAACTTGTTTTAGGCCGCTTGTTATTTAAATCTCTGCCGTTTCCTTGGCAGGGGGAGGAATCAGCCATGCTGGGAGTGAGCGGTTACGTGGAGTATCTGCGGGAGCAGGAGGTTTCCGAGCGCTGGTTCCGGTACAACCCACGGCTCACGTGCATTTACTGCGCCAAATCCTTCAACCAGAAGGGCAGCCTGGACCGGCACATGCGGCTGCACATGGGCATCACCCCTTTCGTGTGCCGCATGTGCGGGAAGAAGTACACCCGCAAGGATCAGCTGGAGTATCACATCCGCAAGCACACGGGCAACAAGCCCTTCCACTGCCACGTGTGCGGCAAAAGCTTCCCTTTCCAGGCCATCCTCAACCAGCACTTTCGCAAGAACCACCCCGGCTGTCTGCCCCTGGAGGGGCCCCACAGCATCTCCCCCGAGACCACCGTCACGTCCCGGGGGCAGGCAGAGGAGGAATCTCCTCCGCAGGAGGAGGCTGTGGCCGTGGGGGAGACGGCCCAGGGCTCTGTGTCCACCACCGGGCCGGATTGAAGTGCCAGGAGAAAGGACAGTCTTCCCATTCCTGGCTCTAAAGAGTCAGCACCGACCCGGCAGGCTGGTACTGTAATTAGTGCAATGCCACCACCGAACAGAAAGAAGCTCCCAAGATGTTGCCAAAATAGAAAAATCTCTCTCTTTCTCTCTCTTCCTCTCACACACCCACACACACACCCATAGAGTGTTAAATGTTTTTCTCCCTTATTCCTCCTCCTCTTGGAGAAAAACAGAACAACTGTGTCAATCAACTTCTTATTCAGGGATCGACAGGATTTTAAAATTTTTTTACTGTTCTGTAGTGATCTGGGACAAGCAGTCATTTGTATTTCTGGACAGCGCTGTGGCCCAGCAGGGCGTCCCGCCGGCGGTGCCGGGTTCAGCCACAGAGCCATATCCATGCTCCCGCTCGAGGGGAGAGCAGGGGCAAGGGGCTGTTGCCTTTCTCCCTTCCCCAGGTAGTTGCCACAGCAAAGAAAACAAAAATACTGTCCTGGTGGAGCTTGCCTTGCCCGAGTGTATTTATCCTTGTCTTATTTTGGTGTGTCTCTTTACATGTTTATTTAAACTGTTATTTTAGGGCTTTGGGCTTGCCCGTTCCAGGCATGTAGCCCTGGTGCCCCTTGTTAAAGTGGACACAGCTACAAAGTGGAATTCCAGAGATCAGCAAAATGTGAAGGAAGTACTTCAGCTACTGAGAGTGGAATTTAGCAGCTGTGAGGTTTGCATGAGACTCTGATGCATTGGGAGAAGGGTTGAAGGGGTTTTCCAGAGGAGGTTGTCCTCTGCTGGTGCTGATCTGGAGAGCTCAGAGCACTCTGAGATCCCGGCTGGAGCGCTGCCATGCTTCAGGTGGTGCCAAGGATTAGGAAGAGATTTTCTGGAGTTGCTGAATTGCAGAGTTAGGGGCTGGCTACCAAAGTCCTCTTTCACCCCTGCTCCCCCCTCGACACACACTTGATCTTTTAGAACAGCAATACGGGATATGGGAATACTGCAATGCTGTTGTCACAGCCGAGCAATCGCAGGTGGTTGCTTTTAAACCTGTTTCTACAAACTAGTTTGATAACTTTTTTATCAATGAAACGCAAAAAGAAAAGAGAACCTTACTCTATTTCCTTATAACAGTTCAGGAGACTTAAAAGTGAACAGTTCCTAGAGCAATCACAACTCTGTCCCCTTGCATGGACTTAACATTTTTGTATTCTGAGTAGCTCTGATGTTTAGAGCAAGTTTAGCAAACCTGGAGAGACATGCCTGCGTGTGTATTGTAGGTGTTTGCACGAGCTTACATGGTTCATAACCAGAAAAGCATGGGACAGGCAGATAAGTGCAAATATCCTGACATCTTTTTTTAAAAAAATATGCAATATTTTAAGAGTTTTCTCTAGTTCTGATGCCAAGTTGTTCATGATGAAGGGGGGGAATGGACGACAGGTTGCGTATATCAGGTTTGGTGAAGGAGTTCTCTTGAGGATGTATAATGTGTACATGATGAGGAAGGGTGAAGTTCTGAACCTTAAGGTGATGGGAGGAACAAGGAGACATTGAAAAAGAAATACACTTCCTCTTGCTTCAGTGAGAAAGCTGGATGAGAGGTTAGAGCTGGGGCACAGCAGGCAGGAGACTGACCAAGTGACAATAAAGCTTGGCCTGCTGTCTGACTGCAGTTTTGGGCACATGGAAACATCTCCAGCCCTTGCTTTCCCATCTGCAAATTGGTACTTGGGATCATTTTCCTGCCCCTTTGGAGGGAATAATTTGGAGAAGGGTGATGTATTCTTGCCTTGATTTATAGATTTTTTTTATGTGTGAGGAGTCTCACTGTTCCTCCCATCTCTCTCTCTCAAAAAGAGATGTGGCTCTAATGCGTTTTTGTGTGTGGGAAAGGGCTCGGTGCCAGCATCACAGGGATGTGTAACAGGGATGTGATCCTACAAGAGGAACCTTTGCAGGTGTTCTGAGCTGGGTACCTGCAAAGTGCCATTTCATTGACCATTTCAAACAGGAAAACTGATATTTCACCTCCGTTTTCCTTCTGTGCCTTCTTCCTCCTCTCCTGTCAAGGGCATCCATCACACAGGGAGTGATTTGGCCACCCCAACAACCAGCTCCGTCAGGTTTCCTGGCAAAGGTCAAACATCACGGTACCAAAACACTGAGGTTGCCAGAGAGAAGTGGCAGAGGATGAGGTGAGAGGGTGGCCAAGGTAGGTTTTGTTGCAATCAAGGTGCAGGGAGGAGTGGAGATGTGCTGCTTTAGTCATAGCTTTTGAAGTTACCAAAAATGAAAAAAAAAAAGTTAAAAACTTTGAAATCCTATCCTGTTCACACTAGAGAGCATAAAAAGTTACTTTTAGTTGCTTAAAAGATTTTTAAGTGTTTTAAAATAGAAATTTTAAAAGAATACTACCAAACTATAAAAACATAAAATTATTTATATACATATATTATATAAAATATAGTGGGAAAGTTTCCCTGCTAAGCTTGCTGTGAAGAGAAGGGTGAAGGTGCAGTAACTGCTACACAAGCAACATTTCTCTGAGACAGATGGCAACCATAGTGAGGAAGGGCTGACATAAAATGGTGAATGCCTTTGTTCCCATGGCATAACTGTGAGTTTCTTGAGCAGTTTTTTATTTTACTGTATCAATACTGTGAAAGGAGAAGCATCCAAACAGTACAGGATGCCAACAGCGTGTCCTGTTTGCTGATTCACTACTTCAAGTGGCCTGGTGAAAACCATGAAATTAATCCTTCATACCTTACTAGGCTGAAAACAAAGCTTGTGAAAGATTTTTCTTTTTTCCTCCTTTATGTTTGCTTTTCTTTTTGGGTTTTTGTTGGTTTTTTGTTTTGTGCAGAGGTTGCCACTGTATAAATGATCATTTCTGATTGCATGCAAAAGAGCCAATATTCTTGCCCAGGCCTCGCTGAGGTGAAGTTTATAGCTTGTAGCTAGAGTCAGTATAAGGTATGGTAGTGGGAATCATTTTGGTATTATTTCTGTACATTTAATGGATGTGTATGTATGTGTGGGAATCATGGTGTCTAATATTTCTTGAACAGTGCTGAAACCAGTTCAGGCCCATCCGCACTAGGCAGTGGAACCAGTTCTGAAGGAATCGTTATTGAACATTTCTTTCAAGGGTCGACTTCCTGAGTGCAGATGAGACCAAGGTTCGAGAAAAAAGGGGTTGGAGGTGCTGTACGGTATGGAGGAACCTCATGTGAATTTTCTGGCAGTGGTGTAGCTACTTTAGAGGTGCTTTCCCTAACAGAATGATACTGTGTCCTGTTGCCTCTGCGTTGGTGTGGCTCTTTACAGTTGCACCAAAGCTGTGGAGAATCAGATGCCAACTTTCCAAGTGTGAATGCTTCTGTGATGGGTTGAGGCACAGCTTTGCATTCCCACATCTAGCTGCATCTTGTTCTGCCAAAACTGTGATTTCAACTGTGATTTAAGGAGGATGTGAAGAGAACTCTTGTGTTTTAATACCTCTGTACGTTACATTTTTGTCTGCTTTAGAGTTAGGGCTTACTAACCCATTTGTTTTCTTGCCTCAGGCAACAGGGAGAACACACTCTGGTTTTACAGTTTGCTTTCTTGGAGGTGGACATATTTCTTAGTTCTTTGCTGCCAAAGAACTCACCTCCCAAATGTGAAGAGTTGTGGTTATCTCCTTAAGCCTGCAGCAAGCCCTGGTGCCACGTGTCAGCCAAGTGACATGATGGTTGCCACGGCTGTTCCCTGCTGCTGCCAGGTTACCTGTGAATAGCTGTGAAAATAGCAAGAATTGTGTTAATACTGTGTTGCTGCTTTGGAGAAAAGCTAAACCTCTTTGTCTCAGGAGGATGACTGATGTGATGCTGGGAAAAGGAGAAGAAGGCCAAAATGCAAAAGGAGGAGGCCAAAATGCAATGAGAGGATGTGAGAACAAATTGTGCTTTGTATTTCCAGCAGCTGGAGAGGGATGAATGAGAGGCTTTGTGGAATGTGAATCTGTTGCAGGAGGCTGAGGACATGCTTAGAGCTAGCTTAGTAAGATGCAGGGATAGCCTGGTGAGAGCCAGAGCAGCCAGTGCAAATGGGCAGTCCCTCCTCATCCTCTCAGCATTATCCACTATCAGGTTCAGTCCTTGGACCTTCCTACATCTTCTCTACAATATTCTCAAGCTGTGAGCTGTATAATTTAACTTTAGTTTGGGTGCTGGGAAGAGCAGAAAGCATGTTGTGTCTCTGCTGCTGTTTTAAACGCAGAGAGGTCGGCAGGGACTGACCCCGTTCCCATCTGACAGCTCTACAGAGCTGGAACAGCACTGGGAACAGGCTGAAAAGCATCACGGGGCTGGCTCAGCACACAGGGCACAGAGCCAGCATCTCAGCCCTCTGTGAGCTCAAGGTTGAAGTACATGGACAGGACAGCCCTCCCTGCTTGTCCTGCTCTCATTTTGTGACAGCTCCGTGGCTGCATTTCCATCCCACACCTCTGCAATAGGAATGTCACTAAACTGTGGGATGCCCATTTCAGGAAGTGATTCAAAGCAGTTTGGTTTTGGAGTAGAGTCCTTGCTACTTTTGGGTGATTCCTAACAAGGATCCCAAGGATGAGCCCTAACAAGGCCTTTGCAAGAGCAGAGTTGTAGCTTTTATTTGCTGCTGACTTCATTTCTCCTGCAGAATCCAACATACAAATAGGAAGACAGCTGCAAAGGTGCAGCTGATTAAACTGATTTGGGTGGAAGGTGGCCTGGGAGGTAGATAGGATCGTGCATCTTGAAAACCAACAGAAACCAGCCCTTAAAATTATTTAAACTTTACCAAACTCTCCTCTTTGATCCATGACATGCCTGTCAATATGGCCGTGTCAGCATCCAAACGTTTCTGCAATTAGTGACATTAAATGCTGTTCAGGTTCTGCTGGAAATATTTTGGAGATGGGAAAAATCCTGCTCATGGCAAGATGGTTGGACTAGATGACTTCTAAAGGTCCCTTCCAATCCATACTATTCCATCAGTCAAGAAGCTGTAATTCAAGGAGACTTTTTGCCAGGGTCTGGGCTCTGAGTTTTCCCTGGGAGCTGAGTCTGTGGCCAGGACTGCAGTTGGAAAGCCTGGGATCCACTGCCATAGCAAAATAATTGTGGTGAGCATTACTCCTGTCACAAGGTGAGAGCCATGCACAGAGTGTTGATATCTGCAGTTAAAGGGCCTAAATAGGAGCTCAGAATCCCTATTTTAATCACTGTCATTCAAATGATATTTCAATATAAAATACATATGTACCTGTGTATGTATATGTGTATATAGATATATATTTGTAACCAAATAGAATTTAGAACTATGCAAACAATACTGGCTTCTTGAAACTAAAGTCTACCAGAACATTTTGGAATAGAGTAGATTTGGAGTAGACTTGCTGTGGAGTTTTGTTTATTTGTTTGTTTGGGTTTGTTTTATAATCAGTAAAATGCAGCAGACCAAAGTTTTGCTGCAGTTAGTCTTATTAGAAATGTAGGTTATTCCTAACCTGAAACCCACTCAAGTGGGTTATGAAATTATCTGAAGAGTGCTACCATCTCTAAAATATTTCCATCTGCTGAAAGGCTTTGACTTGGCAAACATAAGAGAACACAGAGGCTGGGAATTAGGAGAGATTGGATGTGATGTTTGGGCTGATGGAATCAAGAAAGGACTGGGAGCATATTCTTTTGGATGTAGGATTGAGTTGGTTTCAAGGCATCTTCTACTTGGGAAAATGTGCATAGCTGAGATGGGGGCAGTGATCAGAGCATCCCTGGGATGAATTCTGGTTTTGATGGAGGTATTAGAAAGCTTCCTGCTGAATCTGATGGTACAAGAGTTTAGGCTGCTGGGAGAAATTCCACATGATTTCTGCCATTTCTTTGTGTCAGATCTGATCTTTGCTTTTAGGATTAACTGCAATGTATCTGTAACTTTCAGTGAGCTTTGGCTTTTTATTCCTGGAACTGTAGACAATTCAGGTTTCCCATAACATTATCCTCATCCCAACTGTGAACAAGTTACTACTGCTTCTTATAATTTATTGTCTTTCTGTTCCTGAATGTCTGTGTGATCCAGCTGGTCACCAGCACCACCTTCCAGTGCTTCATTAGCTTTTATGCACAGGGAATTGTTGCAATGGATAAGTTGACCATGCTAGTTGGAAGAGTAGAAGCTTTTGGAGAATGACTTTGCTTCCTCTAGCTGTCATTAGGGAGTGCACACACACATACCTGTATATACATATATAGAAACAAATATTATGTGTTTCAATATAAACTCATTTAGCATTATTCTTATTTAATTTATATTTTAATCTAGTTGTAAACCAAAGTATTACAGCTTGTGAAATGATGTCTCTCTGAAATAGGAGGAACCTTTTTTTAGGTGGGAATTCTGAAAGGTCTTTGGTGACAAAAACATGGATAGGAGCAAGACTTAAGAACTTGTGCTGCTGGGAAGTTGCAGCCTTGAAAGGATTTGAAACTTGCTGAGTAAAGTTGAATAGTGGGGCCTTCTGAAGGTGTTCTTCATGGTCCTTAACAGTTTTGTTGTAAAACAAGGACGTTCTGGCAAAGCTAGAAATAAAAGGGAAGAAAGCAGAAAATCAGACTGTGACCTGGCACAGCCAGGAGCTGGGGAGGAAGCCGCAAAACCAGCCACTGATGTATTTAGTGTGTAATTTAAAGTTTTAGGAAATGAGCCATTGCTATTTAGTGGTGTCTAGAAGTGGTTGGGGGTTTGTCAATAACTTCTGTAAAGGCACGTGTTCTGCTGTCACCAATGGGAAGAAATAATGGGTTCAAAGATAAGATCTTGCTGGTATTTCTGTGCCAGGGAGCAATCATCTTTCTGAGGAATGAGCAAGTGCTAAGAACAAATTCACCTCTGATATGTCCCACAGGCCTGGCAGTGGCTCTGCTTCCTCTAGGGAGGAGGAAGAGAGCTGAAATAAGGAGAGAGCTAATCTGCTTTCAGCCCTGGCTGGTGCTGGTGGCCCTGGAACCACACAGGGGAATGGGTAGAGAGGTGGAACAGCAGAACAGCATCACTGGAGAGGTAGTGCATGTATCTGGCATGCCATGGATGCTGTGGGCAGGGAAATGCTGGGTGTAGAACCTGCACAGGGGCAGGAGCATGCAGGAAATGCTGCTGCCTTGTGAGACAGGTGTCCAAAGATGCCTATCCTGGCACAGCTGAGCAGCACCAGTGTTTTCCTTGCTGGAGCTGTGAATAGTAAGAAGGAAAAGGGGTCAGTCCCCTGTGAGGGCAAGATTTGCTGTGAGCATTTCAAAAATGCCATTGGAAGGAACTGAAGGGTGGGAAGTGAAGAGTGGAAGGGGCAGTACTAGACTTCCAAGTGCCATTTTCTGAGTTTTCTAGCAAGTGTTGAAGACTGAAGTTTGTTTTTGTTTCAGTGCTTTCTCCTTTACCTTTATAACTTTTCCTATTTAAACTCCACAGCTCAGGGAAGGGTGCAGAGAAGATGGAGCCAGACCCTTCCTGGAGGCACACGGTGGAAGGAGGAGCAGCAGTAGGCAGCAGTTTATACCAGGGAAAATCAGGTTAGGTATGATAAAACATTATCTCACCATGAGTACAGTCAAACAGCATTGGAGCAGGTATTCCAGAGAGGTTGGGAAGTCTCCACCATGGGAGAGTGCAGCCTCCAAGTTCCTGTTTCCATTAGACTGTGCCAAGCTGTATTTTTGTTACTTTTTTTTTTTAGTTTTATCATATAAAATTGGCAGCTTTACTGGCCTTCCTAGTTTGTATCAGTTAAGCTTTTGGAACATGTTCAGGTATTTTTAAATACTGCTGTGTAAGTTCCTTGTTTAATCTGACATATTCTGATTTATTATTTTACTGCAGTTACCTAGGGCAGTACTTAAAAATCAGTGCATTAATTTTTTTGCAGACTTTTAGCTTAGTTTTTGATAATGTACCTAACACCCTTGCCCTCAGATCTATGGTGAAATAGCTGCATTATTTTTATACTGCAGTGAGACTTATTTATTTAAACCTTCCCATTACCTTTGCAGACAGACCCAATATCATTGGCTATGAAACTGTGAAACTAATGAGAAATGAAAAATGAAGTTGGATTGTTTCATTTACTGCTGGACAAAAAATACAGAAAGTGGCAGTATAAAAAGATTAAATACAGTTTAAATTAGTTACTCAAATGACAGAATGGTTTGGGTTGGAAGGGACCTTAAAGCTCATCTTATTCCAACCCCACTGCCATGGGCAGGGATGTCTTCTGCTACAACTCCAATAGGAGTTACTGAGTTTGGGGCAGGGGGAGGAGTCACAAAGCTAGTCTGAGAGAAACAAATTTTAACTTGGTGATGCCAATTAATTGGCTCCCCACTTGGTCAAGTTTTAAAAGCTGTTTCTTGAGGTTTCCCTGGCTCTGCTCATTCATCTACATATCTTGGGCATTGGTTTGATATGGGGGTTTGTGCCTCCGAGAGTGTTTTCTGAGAGTTTACATGTCTAAGGAACCTCTCTGAATTACTGTGAAGCTTTCCTTGAACCCTTCCTTGCCTGTGCATTGGTAACTGAACACAGCTCTTGCCTGCAAGAGGCCAGTGGGAGGAGGGTGGCAGCACTGGGTGACACTAACAAATGGACAGTGCAATTCTCAGGCTGACAGATTGGATTTTGGGAAGGGGCATGAGGCCCCAGCCCCACTGTGGCTGTCCCCAAGCCCCGCTGTGGCTGTCCCCAGGCTCCAGGATGTTCTTTCAGTCAATGTTTGTTTGCAGGGGCTGTTTACAGGGCAGCCTGGATCTCCACCAGAGGTGCAGAGAAGGAGGGTGTCGGTGCATGCAGGCACTTTTCTGAAGTTTTAGAAGATTTCCTAAGCCAGGGTTGTGCTGTTGGGGGAAGCAGCCCAGGTGGGATTGAGAGTAGAATTTTGTCATACCCTTTGCTTAAAACTAATTCCTTGGGCTTTCCCTCTAAGGCACTGGCCTGGGCAGAAAGCTGACACCAGGCAGCTTCCAGGGCTGTGCTGTCACAGGGCAAGTGCCAGTAAGGAGCTTTGGGAAGGGAGAGAGGAGTGGTGTTGTTCAATGTGTTGGTGGGTAACATGGCTGACAGTTAGGACAGGCAAGAGCAAAACAGACTTTTGTGAATAAGGTCTTTTAGAGGCTGAATGAGGAGGAGAATAACATGCAGCTGTGTGTTCTTGCTGTAACATATTCCTCACCTCATGCCCCACACTTGCAGGGAGAATTAGCCAAGGATGAGAAGATGGATCAGATGGTAATTCATGGAAATGGAAGCAAGGTATTCAAAACACTGCTTTAGTCTGAAAAGGGAAGGGAATGAATGCAGTTTTCCCAAGCCTCTAGTGTGTGAACACTAGCTGAAGCTCCTATGAGCTATGTCCCCATTGTCCCCAGAGCTCCCCTCATTTCCCTGGTGTCACCCCACCTTTCCTGCACAACACTGTGAATATGATATCTGTAGCTCTTTTTAAAACTTTGGATTTTTCCATTAAAACTGCTCAGAGCAGGAAATGCTGTCCTACTGCAGGAGCAGACAGGATGTGACCCCCAAACAAAGCATGGATAGTTGAGTAGTGGGAGAGAGAATTTTAAGAGTTAACAAGGGAAGTGGCTTTGTATAGCAATTTGCTAATCAAATTTCATCTTGTAACAAACTTAACTGACAATCAATTTCTAAAATACAAAAGCCTCTTAGAGGAAATAGTCAAGTATATCTTCACCAGAAAGATTTAACTGGGATAACTTAATAAAGAGCACAGGATTTTTTTTTCCTCTTTTTTTTTCTTTTTTTTTTTTTTCTTTTAAGCAATCACTCCAGAAATGGAGTTGCATTAAGCAGCAGTGATTCACAGGACAGTAACTACCTCTCTCTCTTGGAGTGCTGAGGTTACCACACTACACACTCTAGCAGCAAAGCTTTCACTTTAAAGAGATTTGTTTTCCTTACCTCTGTGTTTCAGAAATGCAAGTCTGCTTTGTAAAGTGACTCTAATGAAAATGGCATCTGGCAGGAGCAACGGGAGTCCCTTGGGGTCCACAGTCCTTCTTGGCCTCCAATTCCTTACTGTGACCCTTTGCAGGTTGGCCATGGGGCTGTGACAGGTCAGGAGGACTTTGTCACCTCCCATGTGCTGCGTGACAGTGAACTGTCCTCTGGGCCAGAGCTGTGAGACCACATTCCTGCACTGGGAAATCAGTTAATGGTGGCAAAGGTAAAGAGAATCCATCTCCCTCCTGCCTCCAAGGCAGCAGGCAGCAGTGAAAAAAAAAAAAAAAAAAAAAAAAAAGCAATAAGATAAAACACAAACACTTTTATATGTTGTTCATTAGTCAGCAGATCTGACTCTGCAAATTTATATATATATATATACATACAGAGAGCAAATCTCTCATGTGAAAAGGTGCCATTTTTTTTCTAAACAGTCCCTTTCCAAACTAGAACAGCACTTTAAATAGGTTCCTCTTTAAAAAAAAAAAAGAAAAATTAAAAAAAAAAAAAAGAAAAAGCAAACCCTTTTCTGCCGCAATGCACTTTAACTCGTCAGAGGATACAGCTGTGGCTGGCTGGGGACACAGCTGTACAGGCAGGCAGCTCCTGGGCAGGCACAGCTCGGGGGGAGCAATGCTGCCAGAGCCTGGCCATGGCAGCTCTACCTCCAGCAGCCCCCCGGGCCCACAGGAGCAGCCCCACCGCGCCCAGGCACCTGTGGGGCTGCTGGCTGCCAGGAGACTTTGGAATCTTGCAAGAGAAACCCACCCTTGCCTGGCAAGAAGATTTAAAACCCGTTTTTTAACAGGTCAGAAGTTGCACCCAGTTAGAACCCAGCTGGCAGCCCAGGGCTGAGCTGAGCAGCAAAGCCAGGAGAAAGCTGTTACTGGGGTTGTGGGCTTTTTCCATAACGTGAATATGGAGCCCTCGTCAGTTCTGTTTGGTTTTTTTTTTTCTTTTTTAATCCAAGTTTGTGTGTCCCACATTGATTCTGCTCTGAGCTGGTTTGCAGAGTAACCATTTGTAACAGAAATTGTGCTGTCACCTTCAACTAGTGACCTATAAATCAAAACTTTTTAGGACAGGTGTCCTAACACTCAAGACTTACTTTCACAGTTAAGAAATTTCCTGCTGTACTAATTATTCTTTTTTTTATTATTTTATTTTATTTTCAATTGCAGTCCTTATTTCAATTTTAAAAAGTCAGTGTTCAGACTAGTCTGGAGTAGGCTGAAGAGTAAGCCTGCTGTAACTTGTGGATATCAGACTGTTCTTCAGTGATTTTCCAAGCTGTTTCCAAACTGGCCCTCCATGACTGCTTCCCTCTTCCTCTTCCAGCAGGCACTGGCAAACAAAAGTTCCATGGCCATTGTGTCCAGGGACAGCCAGCACTGCTGGAAGGGGTGGGCAAGGGTGGCACGGGAACCAGAGTTGGGAAAGGGGGAAATAAAATCAAGGGAGAGGGGACTGTACAATTGCATTGAAAGCAGTTTAGCAAAAAGCGCTCTCGTTGGACAGCTTTAAGAACAATGTGAATGAGAACTTAGCAACTTGGGTAAGAATCTTGGAAAATTCTATAAATGTATACTTGAAATTCTGTTTGTATTAAAAAAATGCATTTTCTTCTTTCTTTTAACACTGTGTAAAAGAACATTATGCATGTGAGTGGTTTGAGAATTAAATGGTTTAATACTCAGATCCTTGTCTGTGTCTTATAGCTGAATGGTCCTTACCCAACATGGATTTTCTGTCTGGTCCTGCACACTCTCCTAAGCTGAGCAGCTTGAGAGAGGTTTCACAGCGCCAGGTTGCTGTTCCTGGCAACTCAGATAGCTTCTGTCCTTTTGGCTGAGTTTTGTCTCACCTCTTCAGCAGGCTGAACCCTTTCCAGTCTCCCCAGGAGGAACGAGCCCTGTGCTCTTGCTGCAGGCCAAGTTTTGGATGTTTTCCCAGCTGCCTATGGCAGGGGAAGCATTTTGGTTCAGTGCCATGCTAGGGAGGCCCAGGCACTGCCTCAGCCCTCCTCTTTCCCCAGTGTCCATCTCCACAGCCTGGGGCACAGCTGGAAAGGGCAGCAGTTACAGGAGGTTGTGTGTCTGTCAATGATGTTTACAGGCAGAAGATGGGATCCAGCAAGAAAAGCCTCTCAGAGGAGGGCAGGGAGAGGCAGAGGAAGAGCTGCTTTCTGAACTCATTGTTAATTTCAAAATGCTTCCCCTTTTCTCCCAGGGTGCCAGCCCATCACAGCTTCTTTCCAGGGTACTGCCCCAGGGGAGCATGCACCTAAAGGAGCCCCTGAAGGACACCTCTCAGATGTGTAGGGTTTGCCATGGCACATGGGACAATGGAGGAGGTGGCTCTCCATGTCCCAGTCACACGCTGCTTGCACAGATGCTCAAACAATCCTACTAGGAACAGGAAAGAGTCAAACCCCTGATAGCTTCCAAAACTAGAGAGCCAGTGATCAAAGATCTGGCATACCAGCTCTGTCCAAGTTAACTCCCTCACTGCTTGGCTGCTCTAGCAGTTCCTGCCAAGAGAAGCCTTTACAAAGGGGGATATTTTGCTGGTCCTACAAAATCCAGAGTAAATGGCCCACTGGGCAGTGCACCCCACTGTCTGCACACACCACTTCCATCACTTCCTGAGGACAGGACCTGTGCTTTCACTGTCTGTTTGGTTTGAAACAGCTGCCTGAAATGGAGACATCTTCTGCATCTTCAGGACAGCCCTGCCAAAGGTCCTACAGCAATACAGCCACCCTGAGAAGACAAGAGGTCTGATCACATGTGGCCTGGCAGCAGGCCAGGACACCTCAGCTCCTGGACTAAACCTGCAGATGAAATAGTTTATTTTTATCAAAGCTACAGGTACTGGTTACCTTACCTGGGCACTGTCGTGGGTCATGGGCACTGCTGCTACAGTAACTGTTAGATGAAATCTTAGCATTAAAAAAGAGTTTCAAAGCCTTGGCTATGCAAGGCTGTCACTAGTGACTCCCAGCACTTGGGCACACAGGACACACCAGGACTGCTGGGAAGCAGGGCACAGCTTTTGGCAGCTCTTCCACCCACATGGAGCTGCTGAAGGATGTTCCTAGCCCAGCCAGCACAAGCCTAATGGCTGCTGCTGTTCCACTCACCTTTTCAGTGTGGAGCCCCATTTGTTGGAAAAGAGGAATTTAAATAAGTCTAGGAAGTGGCTCAGTGTAAAGTGTGCATTCAGAGAGCAGTCTGTTACATACAGATCTATAGGTTTTAATGAACCAAGTGATCAGAGTTACAGAGGGTTGGGCACAGGAAGGACAGCAATGCTGGACTTGGGTGCCACAAAAATACCAGTACCAGATGAAATTCAGCTTTCCTTGCCACAAAGGACAGGACAGTGAGGTGACCTATGAGCCCCCTCACTGACATGGCAGGGAGGAGCAGGGACAGCCCAGCTGGATGCAGTCCCTCCCTGCAGCTGGCACCAAACAGCAAGACCAAGCACCCCAGGAGCAGCCCACACTTAGTGGCAATACCCCCTCTCCCTTTCCTGAGGCAGAGGAGGGAGAAGTGAGGCCCTACCAGCCCCTTTAGGAGCAGGGATCAGCTATCCTGCCCATGAAGATGATGGTGTTGAGGGCAGCTTCCCGGATGAAAAGCAGGAAGGGCCTGTTGGCATTGAAGATTTTTCTGTTCAGAGGAAAGGAACGGCCAGAGATGGTGACAGCTGTAGCAGCTGAGGCCTCACTGCCTTCTTCATTCACCTGCCAGCCAAGAGACAAGATGGGATTAAAATGCAGACATTATGCGGCATGGAGAGGGCTCACCCTCCTCCTCCTCCACAGAACACAGGCCGGCCTCCCTCCAAAGCCCCAAACTGCTGAGAACTGAACACTGTAGGTTCAGAACTATTTTTTCCCCTTTAATATTTGTTTTTAAAAAGCAAAACACACTGGCACCAAACAAGGCTCACCTCAAGGAAGGCTTTGTGGAAAGCCTCAGACACGTACAGGTCTGTGCGGCCCTCTGCAATGATACCTGAAATACAAAAATATACAAAGGTGAAACTCAGTTTAGAGACAGCTCAAGAAAGAACACATTCCCATCCTCCATGGCCTGGGATCAGGCAGAAGGCATGGCTGCCCTAAAACAAAAACATCCTCCTCCACGTGCAACTGACTGCTAAGCTGCCATGTCTTCACTGCAGAGCAGGGCTGAGTGTCCATAGTGGGACTTGACCAGAGAGTCCATCACCGCAGCAACACAGAAATGCTTTCATGTGCTCGTTCCTCGTGTGCTGCTGCACCTACTACCCTGCCTAGGGAGGAATGGCTGCCCCTCACCTCTACCCTGCACTGCCTTATCTCCACATCTCACCTGGGAGTCTGGCATTTTCTGGACTGAAGAGATCTTCCAGCCCCATTTTCCTCAGCTTCTCCTTGAGGCTGAAGCTGTCCTCGATGCGGAAGCGAGGCAGGTAGACAAAGAGAGACATCTCCTTCATGGAATCGATCCAGCCCTGCAGCCTCTCTGAGGTCAGCTCTCGCTCCACCTCCTCCAGTGGCGTCCCAGCACTGGGCAGGACCAGCAGCATCGTGATGTCATCCCCTTTGTAAGGCAGCTCCAGCACCTGGACCTTGTCCTGGGCAATGAATGCATGGTGGAATTTGGACTCCTGGTACATAGTTGGGACTTGGCAGGTCTCACCATTGGCTTTATGAAATACATCCAGTTTTGTGTTTGGAGCTGGGAACTGCGATTTCCAGTGCCCCTAAAAAGGAGAGGGGGAAAACAAACATGAGCAGCATGTCTCCTCTAAGCAAGTGTGCTGCTCCCCAGTTCTGTTAGTTTTTCTTACCTTAAAATAAATGGTGTTGACCAGGACCAAGACAGTGAGATCATCAATACCACTTTCTGGGATCACTTCTGTAATGCGCTTCTCTGTCTTGTTAGCCACCCACTCATTAATGATCTGCCTGGAAAGTTCTGGCTTCTCCTAAGGGAAGAGATCCAAAAAAAGGTTAAGCCAAGGGTTTTAAACCCCTCTTTGTACCCCTTCTGCAGGAGACAGGCTCACAAGGGTATGTGCTGGGGGAGGACAATAAGCTTAGGTGTGATGAGTGGGACATGGCTGTGCTTAGGGCGAGCTGAAGTGAGAGGAGCTACATCTCAGATTCCCCGTTGCTTTCGCTGGGTGTCCCACACACCCAAAGCAGAGCACTTCACTTTTCCTGGGCAAAAGACAGGGATGGACGGGGGGTGGGGGGTGGAACCAAACAAAAAAAGCAAAATCCTGAGTAGTTCAAACTCACTTTGAAGTTCAAGGGCCAGAGTTTTGCTCCATAAACGATTTCACTGATGTTCTGGTAAGTCTCATTAAAGACCAAAGATTTCTCCCCGAAGAGACGGTTGGCTGACACCAGCTCTGAGGATTTGTTTGCTTTCTTGTACAGGCGGCAGTTCAGCTTGGCAAAGAAGAAATGGATCTGATCTGACGTCTTCTCTGAGATGGTGTCAAATCGAAAGACCTGGACAAGCCAAACAGCAACAAGGAATCCGTTAGGAGGCTCTTGTGCTCTGGGCCCCAGAGGAAATGGTGGTGCAGCCTTTGCCTCAACAGCAACAAATCTGCAGGCCCTCAGAGCTTCACCCTCCCATGTGTAGGACCCCAAATCTTTGGAAAATCAACACATCACCAGCCCAAGACCTGTAAGTGCTGGTAAAATTAACACAGTGTTCATAATCCCTTCCCACAGCCCAGAGATGAGCATTGCAGCTCTTGGGTCCTATCAGGTCATGAGAGGACTCACATGTGCTAAACCCTCCTGTGAAAATGCTAAAGGCTGCACTTTCCCAGGAGGAATTCTCATGGCCTGTTGAGCACTTCTGGTACATCTTATCTATTTTTACAGGGAATGGGAATATGTAGCAATCATTCTGAGGGTAGATTTTTGCAGCACAGGGAATTTTTTTATCTGTTCCCAGCTGCCAGCTGGAAGGACAATTACGATTTTTCTACTGCTATCCAACCTCAGGGCTTTAAGGCACAGAAACTCCCACAACCCATTGCTCTTTATGAATCTCTTTTGGCACTGTTTCCTGTAAGGCATTCCTGGTGTTCCCAGCCATTTCATAGGGAAAAGGGGGGGTTAGGACTGCTGGTGTGGGTGGCTCAATGGAGAAGGTTCCCCTTCCAGTGGGAAGGGCTGCCCAGAGGGGAACGCACAAGTGAAGATTTTGGAGATGTGGTTATAGCTGCTCCACTCAGGCTGTGTGGATAATGATAGGAGACCACCAACATTATTTGTTCCAGAGGCAGGATTTGTAAGGACAGCAACAGGGGGTGTTGATTTACACCTCCTCATTGCAGGGAGAAAGGCTCCTCTGGGCTGAGGTCTCCCATTGGAGAAAAAGGTATGGGCAGCATGAATCCCCACATAGCAAGTCAGTGGGTCTGGCATTGAGAAGGGTGCTAGGACAGGCAGGGACTTAAATTAGCTGCATAGAAGAGCCAGAACTCAGAATTTCCTCTTAGTCTGGGATGAGAACTATCCCCTGAGTATAGGGCCAACAGGTAGAGAGAGTGACTCCCTGTGTACAGGCTCCCCTGCCCTGAAAGTCAGGTGGACTGCAGGGTCTCCCATGTGTCTCATTTTTGTCCCAAGGAAGAGAGAAGGAATGTGAAAAAGTTCCTCTGCAGCAGGACTTGATATCATGGCTTTTCCTGCTTTTTACCTAAGGAAAAGCTTAGCTCAATCTGCAAGAGCCAAACTGTTGCCATTCTCTTCCCTCACCTTCCAAACGGGCTTCCTCTCCTCCAGATAAAAACTAACCTCTCAAAGCCAGGAATGCTGGATCCCAACAGGGAGTAAGGGGAAAGAGCTGAGATCTAAACAAATCCAGAAACAGGGTTTGGAGCAACCTGGTCTAGTGGAAGGTGTCCCTGCCCATAGCAGAGGGTAGAATGAGATGAATTTTAAAGTCCTTCCAACTTGGGATTTCCTCCCCAAGGCAAATCCTGAGACCCTGAGAGCAGCCATTAGCCACGATCACCTTTCCTGTCTTTCAGACCTGCTACAGAAAAGGCTGAGGAATCTCCACCAACCTCCATGAGCTGCTGGAGGGTGCTGCCACAGGCTCCGAGCTTGGTCATGGCGAAGGCTGTGGAAATGCTGAGGGGGGACATGAAGATATTTTCCCTATTGTCCTTGGAGTCAGCCAGGTACTTGTAGAAGACAACAGCAAACCGAGAATTGGCCTTGGACAGCTCCCACACCCGGGGGTTGGTGGACTCTGGGAGCTTGTCCTTGGCTGGTTCCTGCCCCTCTCCCTCCTGGGGTTTCTTGTCGGGGTTGCGGTAGATGCAGATGGGGTTCACGGGGATGTCGCGGGGCTTGGCGGTGCAGACGTCCTCCACAGCGTAGTGCTCAGGGGCAGCCAGCCCCCACACACTGAGCAGGCACAGCGCGAGGAGATGCATTGTCCTGGAACCAGAGAGAGGGCTCAGACACACGGCCTGTCTGTGAAACCTGTGCTGCTCCACGGCCCTGGGCCCCTTCCAGCCAGCACCACAGTGACAGCAGCCCCACAGCCCCCTCAGTCATCCTTTTGCCCTGCACCTGCAGGACAAGCAAGGACAGACAGACAGCAGGAGGACAGGCTTGCCTGTGAGCACACAATGCTTTTAGAAGCAATATACTGAAATCAGTGTTTTTCTAGTGACCTGGGGCCCCTCTTTTTTAAGCAGCAGGCTCAGCCCTGACAAGTTTGTACCAAAATGGATGATTTGAACTTGTGAGTCCTCCCCATTGGCCAGTGAGGAGACTACAGTGTAAGGACCCTGCCAGGCTCACCTCAGTTTTACAGAACTTTTCAGTTAATTGATGTAGGAGATAATATGGCAGAGAAGAAAGGTGATAAGGAAAAAGACCTCCAAGGAAATTGGTCCCTCCGTGGACTGAGCATCTCTAATTCCCAAAAAATGTACTTTATAAGCATGTATGGTGCAGCTGGTACATCATACCAACTCCTGTCCAAAGTTCATAGCACCTCAATGCAAACTGGCTGTCCTTGGTACCTAAAGAGTGCAGGCTAACGGGAATTACTGTGTTCCAGCAAAAGCAGTTCTCGGAAAATCTTCCAGCCAGAGAGAGATAATTTATATTTTCCCCTTTGCTAAAGAACACTGAACTTCAGAATGGTTTCAGTTAAAAAGAACCTTAAATATCATCTGGTTGCACCCCTGCCATAGGAAAGGACAGCTTTGCTAGACCGGATTGTTCCAAGCCCTGTCTGACCACGGATGCCTCCAGGGATGGGGCAGCCACAGCTTCTCTGGGCACCCTGTGCCAGGGCCTCACACCCTCACAGGGAACAATTTCCTCCTAAATCCCATCTCCCACCAGCTCTGGCAGAAAGGCCTCATGAGCCATCCCAGGGCCTGCATGCTGTGGTTCTAAGATGCCCTTTGCATGACTGCTTTGTGTATGTACCCCATGGGAGGAAGCTCAAGCACCACAGCCACAACAGTTTGGGAAACAACTACTGGGAGGGGCTGGCAGCCTGCCCAGGTCTTGCCTGCTACAGGGCACTTTTCCAAACGTGTGTCTAAGTTGGGTAAGTCTCTGCCTGCCCCCACATACTCACTGCCATGGCTACCAAGCATTGCCTTCTGAGAAACTAAATTAGAAGTCACCTGCATTTAGCACTGGTGACCTCCATGTCTGTGATCTTCCAGTGCTGGTGGGCCAGCACCTGCTGGAGGAAAATGGGAGCAGGCTCAAAGGCTGATTTGGGATGAAGGAGACCTCTGGCTTCTTCCACAACACCCTCCCTGGGCTTTTGGACAATGACTTCATCTGTTCCTCAGCAAAAGCAGAAACTACCTCATCTGGCACCAAGACTGTATGGAGCCCAAGGCTGTGTGATAGCACAGCAAAACAAGAGGGACTCACTCAGGCCATGGCCACAGCTCTCGCTGGTAATGACACAGAGATCATCTTGCGAAAGGTTTAGGACAGATGCAACACCACAAAGGGAAAAAAAAAACTAAAAAGTGAGGGAAGTTAACCAATTAAAAATAAAAAACAACACCCAGGCCAAGAGAAAGGAAAATATTAAGACAATTGAAAACACTCCAGGAAGTGCTGTGCTTCCGAACCTTTCAATCCCACAGGAAAAGGCAGCCAGCAAAAACCAGACACGCTCCAGAGTGTGCAATCCTGGGGCCAGGAGCAGACCCTCCACTGCCTGCAGCAGCCCTCCCTCACCCACACTTGGTCCTGCAGCTCCAGCAGCACTGACACACTTGTGGCCAGTCCCACCATGGAAAGGACAACCTCACCATGATCCCCTGCCTGTCACTCCACTCACCTCCAGGGAAAGCCGTGTCCTGACCGCGTCTGTACAGGACAAACACCTGCCTCAGCCAAGCCAGAAGTAGCTCGTGGTGTTTTCCATCACACCAAGTGCTGCTCATCTAATTTCATACTTAAAGGCCAAAGCACATGAGCTGGGAGGGCACCTCCATCCTCACCCTGTCCTCATTAAATGAGAAAGACTGCCTGTTTTTACTCTGCAGTAAAGCCCTGACTCCATCAGTTCAGGGAAGATACAGGACTTTATGCTAACACCTTCAATCTACTTTACCATCCATTAAGGTTGACCCAGCCTCTGACACATCCAATCTTGTCTCTTACAGGCAAGAGCCCCTGCTGTTTCTTAGACCAGCTCTTTGTCATAAAATTTGGCCAAAACCCACTCCTCCTCCCCCCACGGCTCTTCAATGCTCCCTTTTCCTCTGCAGCACTGACATGCACTCCATGTGTCAATCTGGAAGGATGCCAAAAGTAGTCCCACAACAGCACTGCCTGAAAAGGATTACTGGCAGGGGGAATGCAGAAACTAGAAAAGGTTCTTACAGGGGTGAAGCAACAAAAAGTGCAGAAAGCCAAGAAACAAGTTGCTGATTCAGCTCAAATCAGAAGGCTCTGGAGAAGCATGGAGAAAACTCCGTGATCTCTTGGCTGCTGTGCAACATGGCTGGGCTCTCACCAGCACACACCATTTCCATCCCACTCTTCCATGGCTGCAGGACAGGATGGTTAACTGGCCTTACAGACCCCCCAGCATCCACCCTACTGAACCTACTGGGGCTACTGGTAGTGGTGGGAATGCCCCACAGCAGCCTAGCACTGTGCTACACAGTCCAGCTAATATACAACACATCAAACCATTTTGAGATTCATTTAGGCTCTTGAGAAACCTTCCCCACTGCCTCACACCCCAAAACCTGACTCCAAAGCAAACCAGCAGTGCTCTTTTGCAGCCAGCAATTACTCAGGGCCTCCTGACTTCATTAACTGCTCTCCATACCATGCCTGCTGCAGGCTGGGGATAAGCCAAGCCTGACAATTTAGAATGCCAGCCTTCATGACACCTAGGGTGGGAGGACTCTCTCTAATAGAGCAAAAAGCCACTCTGGCAGCAGCTAAAATTCATAGGCTCCTACTAAGGGAAAAGAAGCTGTTTCAAGCAATTAATTAACAATTAAAGATGTGTGCAATCTGTTTTTCTTACCTGCCCCTTGTACCTCCAAGCCTTCTGCTTTTAGGAGGTAAATGCAAATTTTTGAGAGAACAGCCTTGCTTGAGCCCAAAGCAGTTTCCCCACTGGATTTCTGTGCTCAAACAGAGCTGAGACAGCAGCAGGGGATGGTGGGAGGGGAGTAGGATGCTAAGGCCAAAGGCTGATGACCAGCTGCTGAAGGTTAAGCAAAGAGTAGGAAAAAAGAGGCAATGTTTAGTTTGAAAGAGGTTTTAAAGTTCAATCTGACAAGGGAGAGTTTGACCACCTACCCCACACGAGTGCCACATGCCCTCAGTTTTTGCCAACAGAAAATGAACTGTTTATCCCACGAGAAAAACCTCAAACCCTTCAGGAGTTTGAATAAAAATTATATATTATATAAAGCTGTTTGTAGATCTAATTTTGGGATCTTGTAGCTAAGCAAAATGTTTTCCATCTGTCCCAAGCCCTGTCACCTGTATCCCATTTCCTGAACAGACACAAGTTGGGAGAAATTGCCCCACTTCACATTCTGCAGTTTCAAACACATCCCATCTTAAACACACTCACCTGGAACAGGCTCCCCAGGGAATGGGCACGGCCCCAAGGCTGCCAGAGCTCCAGGAGCATTGGGACAACACTTTCAGGCCCAGGGTGGGATTGTTGGAGCGTCTGTGCAGGGCCAGGAGTTGGACTCTGTGATCCCAGTGGGTCCCTTCCAGTCCACAATATTCTGTGACCTTTCACTTACACAGCTGGAAAGCTGAGGATTAACAGCAGCTCCCCCAGCTCCTGTCCAGATTCCCAGGGCAGAGTAGTGAGCAGGACCAAACACCATTTCTGATCCAGGATGCAGCTGCTCCACAAACCCTGCAGCATTGCCCCCTGAATTTCAAATCCCAGGAGCAGGCTGGCTCAGCAGGTGCTGAGCCTCCAGTGAGAGGAACATTTTCCCTTAATAGGAAATGCAATTGCAAACTGGTTAGGGTTAAGTAAAAGACTTTACTGTATCAGTATGGGACATAGTTAAACGGGACAGAGATTGTGGAGATAAAGTGAAGGGTAATTAAAAAAGTCCTCCATGAGAAAGGAAGGACTCACATACTGCATCTTGTTACTTCAGGTGGCTGCTGGGTTAATTTTTTAAGGTAACTGACATGCTCACAGATCCCAGGGTTTTCAGATGATTAGGGATGCTCCACACCCAGGCAGACACCCAAGCACAGGTTTCCATTTACCCAATGCTCAGAGGGAGCTCAAAGCAGTAAAACCAAAAGCAAACAACCATGCACATCCCACAGAACTCCCAGGGCATTTATTCCAGGGTAGCTGAGTAAATCTATCTATTGAATGCTGCATGTAAATGGTCATTCATGGCTGGTTTAGCTCCAAGCAACAACCCAGCACTTGCATCTGAGCAGAGCTACCCAGGAAGCCCCCAAGATGGCCAGTGTTAACCCAAACTGTTGGATGCCTTGTTTGCTCTAATGCAGGGGCTGTTTTTCTCCCAAAGCTGCTGCTCCCAGACCCAAAGCAAAGATCAGGGGCTCTAAAGCAAGCACCAAAGCCTGGCAGCCTGTGGCAGGACAGATGAAGCATCACACTTTGGTTTTAGTCTCTCCCACATTTTTAGTCTTCAGGGAGTTGGAGTTCACAGTTAGGAGGAAGGAGGTTACAGAAACAACTGAACACATCCCAGCTGGAAAGAAACAGTTCTTAAACATACCTGATTGGTGAGGAGGAACATAAATTGCCTTAATTTTGTTTTGTGCTTTGGGTGTTCACTGCTGAATTTCATGGATATGCGCAGGGAAAATGACTCTTGCACTCACAGATCAAGATGGGATCAAGGAATCTCATGAGCTCGTCTTTCCAAGATTCTATCTGTCCTGCTATTCATATCCAAAGGGGACAAAAA